CTTCCTTCCTTCCTTCCTTCCTTCCTTCCTTCCTTCCTTCCTTCCTTCCTTCCTTCCTTCCTTCCTTCCTTTCTTTCTTTCTTTCTTTCTTTCTTTCCTCTGTCTCACACACATGCATACATACACTAGTATGAATTTCCTACCAAGGCTATAAATAATTATTTTTCTATATTTATGACATAGAATGCATAAGCAGTAGATTTTGTTCTATCTAATGCAGAGATAACTTGAAAATAGTTGTTAAAAGAATAAGGCTATTTGTTTATTTTAAAAGTCTTTTAACGTAAGATAAAAAGACAGATTTATGCATGTCATAATCTTCATCAGTTATTTTTAATACAACTATACAATTGTATACAATCAATACACCAAATAATTTTAACAGAGAAGGTTTCGTTGAAATACAAAGGACTGTTTTTGCTAATATGATCTATTTTTACAGAATTCTGATGGCATTATTTACTGAAGTGATTGATTGTATGTTTGTATTGGTTATTGATTGATTGATTGTTTTTGTTAAGAATCAAATAATAGTAATATATATATATATTTAATTAAATTTACAGTGAAGTACCATAATATGTACCTTAATATAATGCAAAACAGTTTGAGAAGGTTACAGATAAAGGGGCTGGGGATAATTTCTATATATTTAAAGCATAATTTTTAAAAACTCACTCCTTTCCCCCAGAATTAGAATTCCTAGTAGGAACATTTAAGGAATTGCAACTACAGAAATTATTCCTCATTACTTAGTCTAAAGTTGAAAATATTCATTTTATTAAAATGTTTATTTTTAGTGTTTATCCAGCAGGTACAGTATATTACTGTTCATTTATACCTATTCTAATATGCCTATCGTGTTCTCTGCTCTAATTTGTAAATAAAAGTGAATGAGATAATGTCTTTAAAAATATAAATTTATCTAACCACAAGATTGGAAGGGAGAAAATAATGTCGGTAAGAATTTTGGGTATACAAAATCTTCTGGGGAATAAGAAAAAAATGTTACATTACTTTCAAAAAGGATAATTAAAACTGAATGAACATCACTGTCTTTTTTATGTAGGATAATGAGATACCTGACATGAAGAGAACCTTGCAGATAGACAACCAACTTTCCATTTCATTTGGAAGACCACCAAGAATACCTCCTCGAGTTGCTAGCAGGTTATATATTGTTTTGTAATACATTTATACTGTACAAAGAATGAATTTGACAGATCCCTGTTCTACCTGGATTAATTCTAAAATAGATAATATAAAGGGATATAACAAAGTAAAACAGATGGGAAACATGGTAGCAGAATATAGAAACCAGAACTTCACTATGTCCCTAAACCTAAATATCGATTAGATAAACAGAGAGGTGTTCATGGCTCTTTTAAACAACAATTTGGGGGGGGGCAGGAGAACCTCATTCTTGGCCAAGACCTCATTCCAGGGGGCAGATACTGCTATAGAGAAGGCATGCTTCCGGGATCCTGATAGGTGACATAGTTTAATCAAAGGAACCTAGAGTGTACCAGCCCTGCAGGACTGAATTGACCAGACAGATGCTATGGGAGGCAGATAGTCCCTCAAGTAACCAAGGTCATGTAGGTCTTTATAGATAGCAATCAACCTCTTGAATTGCACTCAGAAGAAAGCCAGAAAGCAGCCAGCTTGCTAAGTAGAAGGGTTGTATGAGTACACTGAGACATGTTCATTACTGCTTGTGCTGTTGCATTTTGGATCAGTTGAATGACCTTGAAAGGCAGCTCCATTTATAACACATTGAAGTAGTCAAGCCATGAGGTAATTAGAAATGAGTAACTTTCTGAAAGGAGGGCAAATTAGATAGGGTGCAACAGGCTATCAGATGGAATTGTGCAAAGGCCTTCATGTCCACAACCAACACCTGCCCTTAATCAAGAGCAGTGAGTCCAGAAAGAGCCCCAGAATGTATACCAAGCTTGAAGGGGGAAATGGTACCTCATCCAAGGTAAAAGATTTCCATCCCCAGAGCTAGATACCAACAACCACTTGGTCTTGTTAGGATTGAATCAGAGACAGTTTCTCCCCATCCAAACCTGCACAGCCTCTAGGCGTTAGGACAAAACCTTGACAACCTTACTTGGCTGGTCTGGGGTTGAAAGATATAGCTGAGCATCATCAGCATTTTCAGGGTATAGAATCCTAAACTTAATGGTTTCATGTAGATACTGAAAAGGAGGGAAGGCACACCCACAGAGTAGGGGCACAGGAAATGACACCTCCCCCATCTCTAACCAACACCATCCTGAACCGGCTTTGGAGGAAGAGAACCAATCCCAATCCCCATCCTTCCAAGCTGGTTTAGAAGGATACTTTAGTTGACAGTATTAGAAGCCACTGAGAAATCAAGCAGCTCAAGTATGGATGCAACACTGCAATCCCAGGTGTGTCACAGGTATTTCATAAGCATAACCAATGTTGTTGCAGTGCTGCCATGCTAAATCCCAGTCTGAAAATGGATTGCATGAGGTCTAGATAATCTATTTCTTCCACAGTTCTCAATTGCTATAAACCAACCATCTTCTTATGAACCTTCCCCAAAAAACGAAGATTGGAGACTGGTCTTTAGTTGTCCAAAACCATTAGAATCTAGCCCTTTTGGCAGAAGTTCTGTGGACAGATTAGAATAAGGTGGTAATTTGTAATGAATGTACAAATTATATATATTTGATTAATATAAAGATTACAGAATCAGAAAAACATTTGCAGATTTGGAGATCTAATTCCTTGTTTATTTAAGGATTATAACTAGTCCTTGACTTATGACCATAATTTATGTTGCTAAGTGAGACAGTTAAGTGAGTTTCTTCCCATTTTATGACTTTTTTAGCCACAGTCATTAAGCAAATCACTCCAGTTATTAAGTTAGTTACACGATAGTTAAGTGAATTTGACTTCCCTATTGGCTTTGCTTATTAGAAGATTGCAAAAGATGATCACATGACCCTGGGACACTGCAACCATCATAAATATGAATTTTGATCACATGAGGATGCTGCAATGGTTGTAAGTGTAACAAATGTCACTAAAGAAATTGTAAGTTGAGTATTACCTGTATATTACCTGATTAATTTAATAGAGTTAGAAATTGCTAGTATTGTAATGGGATGTCAATGAATAATTCCACATGAAAGAATAATAATATAATGTTTTTCTATTGTAAATGTTATTGTATATCAACTTTAAAAACCCTACATTTCAAAGTATTTAATTGCTTTTTAAAATAAATGTGGAAGTGTAATAGGTTATGTAACATAATAAACTATTCTTATGCTATTTTCAAATATTTATTTGCAGATTGTCAAACACTGACAACTTCCATCCACCACCTGTGCCTCCAAGAGGTCGTGATAAGTTACACTAAATCTTTTGGATATTAAAAACTGAAACATGAGAAAGCAGAACTTTTATTCTTCAAAAAGACTTTTGAATGGTTATGCTGTAACTCTAATCAGCATATCAGTTCACCCCTTGTAAATCTCAAATGAATAATTTTGGTCAAATTTACTCTAAAAATTGAATCAACAAAATTTCAGCATTTAGAACAAATAAACTATTAGAACATCAAAAAATATGCTGAACTTATTAGAATTCTTAGATTCTAATTACACCAGACTAAAGGTATCTCAATCATTTCTCACATATTTTAAAACTTCAGAAAGGAGTAGCTACCGGCAGATATTTTTTGTCTGTTTATCTACAAATAAAGTAGCCGGTGATGATGCTCTGAAAATATTTACTCATTGTAGATAACTATATTTTCACAATATAGTGAATCTAGAGTGCCTTGCATTGTACAGTGCAATTCATTTGAAATTTGTCTAATTTCTTAATGATTTTATTATAATTTCATATTCACAATTGTCTAATTGATGCCTCTGGTTATTGTTCCAGTAATACTATACTGAGAAATTGGGGAGGATTTTTCTTTTCAGATTGTATAGCTTAAATCAAAGAGTCTCTATATGAGTCATCAATATGAGTCTTGAATCTGTATTATTTCTGTGAGAATATGCCAAGAAGTACTTAGCAGACCATGAATATAAAGAAACTTGGTGTTTATTTTTGAACTTCAATAAAATTTGTGCACCAATCTCAACTGACAGGGATCACATCATTACTAGAAGAGATTCTTGTTCCCATTGTAAACAGACTGTATCCAAAAAGGCAGCTAGCCGTGTTGGTTTGTGAGAAAGTGTAATAACCCAGCATGAGATGGAATTAACTTAACAAGGTGGAGCAGCTGCGAGACCCTATTTGCATTCAGTTTCAGGTAATCCTTGAGACGTCAGTTGGGACCAGAATTTCATTTCTAAGTGATACAATCATAACGTGTGACATCACTAGACAACGTTGCGTAGCAATAGAAGTTCTGGCACTTCCAATTGCCATCATTAAGCAAATCATCATGCATAGGATTGAAATTCTAAAGACAGTTTCCTTTTTTCAGAATTTTCATTTTCTGTCTTTAAAAAATAAAGAAATACATTCGAAAGCTCATTAATGTGACATGCAGGTGTCATCAAGTTATTTCCAATTTGGTACATTCAATAGAGAGGTGAAAAATGTACTCTTTACATATACCCAACGGCTATTTTAACTGAAGCACAGATTATATTGTTACAGAGCAATTTTCAGGGACAACTAGCAAGGACTGGCCTTTGCAATACCTCAACTTATTTAAAGATAGCGGAGAGAGTTTCTAGGAAGGTTGCTTTGTGGAAAATGTGTTGAAGTCATACAGATTTTAGGGGACGGTACATTCCGTTCCCCTAAATGGATAGGCAACTATTAAAAAGTTTTGTTTCTAGGTTCATTCACACTTTTTCTCTTGCATGACTAACTTTTAAGACACTTGGCAACCTGTTTGCACTTATGATTGGTTGCCAAGCACCGCATTATCATGTGACTGCTATTTGCCAGCTTCTCCGTGGGTTTTCTCAGAAAGTGGAAGCCAACAGGGAAGATTGTAAGTTGCTGCTACCTGCCAATTGGACTCCCTCTCATCTTGGGAGGGCTGCTGAAAGACCTGCCAACTAAATGGAGCTCAAGCCCTCTGTTGGGCTTCAGAAATAGGGCTTAGTTCCTGAAGACCTGAGCCCTGTTTCAGCAGCCTGACAGAGACATTCTCTTCCACACACATAGGAAAGCTCAGCCTCTACTAGGCTGCAGAGTCATGGCTTAGATGCCAAAGATCCAAGCCCCATTTCTGCAGCTCAGTGGAGGGGCTGACCTCTACTTCTAGTTTTCTAGCCTTCAGGACAAATGATGTTCACTAGCTGTCTACCTTTCCTAGGCTAGGAAGATTAGTGAATTCAAATGGCGTGATTGAGCCTTCCATTTGCAAGAATGTTGCCCACTGCCGAATGGCACAAGATGGCTTTGATAGGAAGGCCAATCACACATCAGCTGGGCACACTTGCAGCTAAGAAAAAGGCAAAAGTAATGGACCTGGGCTTGGTTGGGTTGGGGAGAGAGCCTGGGTCATCTGGATGTGCTGGGCCACAGAGAGCCCTTCTCCCTGATGCTCTGCTTAATGACCTGAACAATCGCTTGGCAAGTGCAGCTGAGAGAGCCGGAATTGTGGTCACTGAATGAGTGGTCATATGGCTGTCTGCTTGATGACCACTTTGCTCAATGACTGAGATTCTAGTTCCCATTGTGGTCATAAATCAAGGGCTACTTGTAGACTGCATTGTAGTAATTTGACTTAGAAATAACAAAGCTAGTCTGTTGTTGAAGCCTTGATTCTTAAGAGACAGAACTGGCAGGAGAACTCACAAACCATGAATACCTATTGTTTGTTTCAAATACTTTTTTAAAAAAGATGATTTAATTAATAATGTTATTAATTTATACTTTTCTGTTGATTTTTGTAAGAACATGTGCTATTGTTTTACTTGTTAGATAATGTTTCAGCTGTAGTTTTTGTAAGAAATGTACATGAATATACTTAATTTGTTAGTTCACTATGCATATAAATTCATTATCCACTGATACTTTTCAAATATTGTATGTGCACAAATCTATCAGTAGGTAGACATTTTAATCAATCTGCTGTTTATTATGTGGTTGTACCACTGCTACGTAATTCTGTTCAAGTGAAGACAAAAGCTTGATTCAGGTGTTCTGAACTCTTCAGCTTTTACCAGTGTGCTGTGGTTTAATCCTATGCCTTGCAGACAAATGACATGCTTCTCAAATTTATATGTCAAGAAGAAGTCGAAACATCTATTTTATTTCAATTTATTTTTATCTACAGTGCATAATAACTGTTTCTAAAGTTTTTAGCATGTCCCTGGGGATAACCTGTGTGTTAAAAAACAATACAAAACAATTTGCAACCATCTCTTTTTAAATTAGGTTTAGACTCAATTTCAACCAGTGTACTCACTCTGCAAAAGCAATCTTGTAAAGTTTATTAAGACAATGGAGACACATGAAAAAACTTCCATTGTGTTCTATACACTTGAATTGAAAACCCCTGATATTGCATTAATGTTGCACTATACAGAAGAATTCAATATAGTTACTGCCCTGGGATAGAAGCTGTTTTTCAGCCTATTTATCCTTGTTTTTCTTATCCTGTACCATCTGCCAGGTGGTAATAGTTAAAAAAAAAAGGGTGCCCAGGATGAGATGAATTTTTAAGAATGTTTTGAACTTTCTTAAGGCAGCAGGAGCTACAAAGCTCTTCCAAAGAGGGGAGAGGGCAACCTATGATCTTCTGGACATTGATGTTAACCCTCTGGAGTGCTGTTCTATCTGCCACTGACAAACCATACCTAGGTGCAGTAAGTTAAAATACTCTGGTGCAGTGGTAGAAAGTCACCAGCAGTTTTTCATTCAGTTGTTGTTTCCTGAGCAGTCTCAGGTAGGATAATCTCTGCTGGGCCCTTTTGACCCAATGTGAGTGCCCCAGGTCAGGTCCTCTTTTATGATAACACCCAGAAATTTAAAACTGGCCACTTGCTCCACTCCATTGATAAACAAGGGCTGGATATCTGATCTGTTCCTTCTATAGTCGACCTTAAGCTCCTTGGTCTTATTGGTGTTAAGGACCAAGTTATTGTCTCCACACCACAAAAGCAACCGGTCCACCTCATCTTGATAGGCAGACTCATTCCCCACCTCTCAGGAGATGAGTCCCACCAATGTTGTATTATCTGCAAATTTAATAATATTACTGCCATGAGTGAGAATGCAGTCATGCATATAAGGTGTATAGGGTAAAGGACTCAACACACAACCCTGTAGTGTACCAGTGTTAAGAATAAAGGCTGAAGAGATATTACCTAATCTGACCCTCTGAGAGCCACCAGTCCAGAAATCCATAATCCAAAGGCGTATCGAATAAGAAAGCCCAAGGCTAGTCTATATAGAAGAATTGTGTTAAATGCAGAGCTAAAATCTAACAAAAAGCATCCCCACATTGCCCCCACCACCATTCCAAATGAGTCAGAACAGTGTGAAGAGTGATGGCTATAGCAATGATGGTGAACTTTTTAGGGACCAAATGACCAAACTGTAACCCCAAACCACTTATTTATATCGCAAAGTGCCAACACAGCAATTTAACCTGAATACTGAAGTTTTACTCCAGTGCTGAGATTCAAATGATTTAACAACCAGTTCTTCCTAATGACTGGGTAGACATGGTTGCGGGGGGGGGGGGCATGCCAACTCTGTCACTCATGTGGGTGATGCCTGTATGAGACAGGCAGGGTTGGGGAGGGAATTCAGGGGTCTCTGGGGGGTGGGGCAGAAGGGAGGAAAAAAAGATCCAACTCTCTCTCTCTCTCTCTCTCTCTCTCTGTGTGTGTGAGAGAGAGAGAGAATGGCCGCCAGCCCTGATATAACTCTCAGATGCCTCTCTCTCTCTCACACACACACACACACACACACACACACACTCACACACACACATACATTCTCTCATTCTTTATTCATTCTCATTTTCCTTTCTCTCTCATTCCCTCTCATTTATCATTCATTCCCTCTCATTCTCTCATTCATTTTCTCTCTCCTCTCTCTCATTCTCTCCCTCTCATTCTCTCTCATTCTCTCTCCTCTCTCTCTCATTCTCATTTATTCTCTGTCATTCTCTCATTCATTCTGTCATTCTCTTATTCTCATTCTCTCTCTTATTCTCTCTCTCTCTCTCTCTCTCCCTCCCTCCCTCCCTCCCTCCCTCCCTGCTTTAGGCAGGCTTAGAAAGTCTGCCAGGCCCGGCATGCTGTGGATGCCCCTCGCTCACCCCTTTGCCTGGCTTCCCTCCTCCACAGAGGGAGGAGGGGTACCATTTGGGCTAGCATTCAGGGGAGAGTGCCACACAGAAACAGGAACACACAGAAACGCCGTCCCCTCCTCTCTCTCTGTCTCTGTTGCTGGGCAATCCCATGTGAAGAAGAGTGTGAGGTTGCAACTTCTCTTCTCACAGCCAGCTTTCCCAGTCTAGTTTGATGCAGGCTTCCTCCCCAGGCCCCCATCTGTTCCCCCCTCCCCTGGACAAAGCTAGGCAAAAAGCCAGCCCTCACCAGTGCCCAGCTTCACCAACAGCAGGCTTGGAAAGGGCAAAGTGAGCTGTACTGGGGAGGAAGAACGTGAGTGAGCACCGAGAAGACTGCGGAGGAGGGAAGCCAGGCAAAGGGGCTTGAACGAGGGGCGTCCTCAGCATGCTGGGCCTGACAGACCTTTTAAGCCTGCCTAAAGCAGGGAGGGAGAGATACATCCAATCTAACCTCTGTGTGTGTGAGAGAGAGGGATCCAATCTCGGAGTGTTATATGAGCCTGGTGGCCTCTCTCCCTCTCTCTCCCTCCTTCCTTCCTCTCTCTCTCTCTCTCTCTCACACACACACACACACAGCACCAGGAGATAAAACAATATTTGGAAAAAGCTAAATTACCTAAAATGCCTGAAACGGTGAAAGCCATGTTAAATGAAAGGATAATGATGATGGAGTGAATGGAGGTGATCAAGAGACAAAAGAATAATAAAACACCAGGACCAGATGGGCTACCGGCAGAATTCTATAAGTATTTACAAGACACTCTAAGGACCATCAATGTTGGAAGTTTATAATGAAGTACTGTTAGAAGCTAAGATACCAAATACTTGGACAGAAGCAAACATTACTCTTATACCGAAAGACGATTCAGACTTAATGCAGATTAAAAATTATAGACCTATATCACTATTAAATGTTGATTATAAAATATGTTTTTTGGATTTTGAGCAGAGAAAGGCCTGGCATTAGGCAAGATCTGCTTTATTGGCCAGCCCGAAGACCCCAGTCTACCAAGGTGGCTGAGCGCATAATGTCAATCCACGAGGACAACCAGGAAGACTGCAGAGCCAACCTCTCCCCAGCCACACCAGTGCCGTGAGGAAACTGAATGGCTGGAGGAGC